AAACACCAAACCCCCAAACCCCTAAACCCGTAAACCCAAAACTCCTGAAACCTTAGACCCCTAAACCCCTAAACCCTAAAACTAAATCCCCAAAATTCAAAACCCTAAACCCCTAACTCACCCCCAAACCCCTAAATCCAAAAACCCTAAACCCAAAACCCTGAAAACCCAAACCCTAAATCCTAAACCCTAATCTCTAAACCCTAGACCCTAAATTTATCCTAAAACCTAAACCCTAAATTTATCCTAAAACCCTAAACCCTAAATTTATCCTAAAACCCTAAACCCTAAATTTATCCTAAAACCCGCCTAAACCCTAAATTTATCCTAAAACCCTAAACCCTAAATTTATCCTAAAACCCTAAACCCTAAATTTATCCTAAAACCCTAAACCCTAAATCCCTCAATCAGCTGAGGATAGAACTCCGGGAGCTCCCGAGCCCTAAATCCAAACCTTCCGACCCTCAGCCGGATGAAGCCTGGACACCTTTTTTTTGGGGTTTAGGGTTTGGGGTTTAGGTTTCAGGGTTCAGGAATTTAGGTTTTAGGTTTTAGGGTTCAGGTCTTAGGGCTTAGGCTTTAGGCCGTAGGGTTTAGGGTGTTGGAAAGACAACTGGAGCCCTAAAGCTCCCAAGGTCCTTAAGCCTGATCTCGAGACTAGCCAACGTCAAGAAACCTTAAACCCCCAAACCTTAAACCCTAAATCCCTAAACCCCTAAACATTTAAACATTTACACCCCTACCCATAGGCCCCATAGTAGATCCTTTTTGGGATTACGTTATAGGATTCTATATATGAACCCTCAAAAGGAACTGCTTTAGGGCCTATGGGTAAACCTGAAACCCTAAACCCTAAACCCTAAATCCCTAAACCGGTAAACCTTAAATCCCTAAACATTTACACCCCTTGACCTGAAACCTCCAAAGAGGCAGCCTCGAGCTCAAGAGCACGCTCCTCCATCGGGCTCAGCCTGTCCTGGAACCAGAGCTCAGCTGGGGGTTTAGGATTTCAGGGTTTGGGGTTCAAGGGTTTAGTAATTAGGGTTTAAAGGTTTAGGCTTGTAGGGGTTTAAGGTGTAAGCATTTAGTAATTGCAGTTTGGAGTTTAGAATTTTAGGAGATTTGGGGTTTAGGGGTTTAAGGTGGCCTTTAGCAATTTAGAGTTTCGAATTTAGGAATTTGGGGCTTAGGGGTTTAAGGTTCTTCTGCTTGTTGGGTCTAGGGCTGCAAGGATTTAGGGTTCCCCTCCTTTCCGCCACCAAAAAGCGTCTAAAGATCAGGGGTGACATGGAGTCTGGGGTTCAAGATGCCAGAACTCCAGTAAGCCTTCACCCGGCGTCACTACAACCTTGAAGGCGTACTACCAGGCTTTTTCTACAGTTCTCAGATATGTGAAAAATTTACCAGGAAAAACCCTAAACACCTAAATCTTAAACCCCTACGCCGCAACGACTTCGAAGTTCTGAAGGCTTTTCTGTAGTGATATGTGGAAGCTTCAAAGCCTGATGGACGATAACACCTGAACCGGAAAGCAAGACCAAACCTCGTTAATTATGCCATCAGGTCCCGGAACTTTCAAGCCACTTGTCGCCTACACGCGTCTTCCATTTGAAGAAGAGTAGGTGCGGCCGTAGGACATGGCAATGTACTTGAGGAGGTCCAGTCGAGCAACTTGTGCTCTAGCTGGGCTGGGGAGACCGCTAGGCCCCCTTCCTGACGGCGGAATTGCTCCTGCAGTTGGGCATCAATATCATACCCGCCTGCTGCGTGTACCGCACGCCGCTCAGCGGCGGGGCGTGAGGCCCATCGAAGGCCATTAATGGCTTCAAGCGGCCTGCCATGTTGCTGCCAATGCTCAGTGGCGGCGGCTGTGAGTGACAGCATATGTGCGCGCGTGTCATGCCGGGCACACGCGCGTATGCATCTTTGGGCCCTGCATTCCTGAATACGCGTTGCCGCATAGACAAGCGTGGTAAGCGAGAGATTGTCCCGGAGTGTGGCCCTCTGGGTTGCGCAGGGGCCGGATACCCGCCGCCACAAGTCGAGCAGGTGAGGATTGAAGGCTTACAATTTAGTTGAGGGTTTGATGTTTGGGGCAATGCACATGGTTGTGAACAGCTGCTGCGGTTTCAACACAATGACTTGTGATATTTATTGACTTCGAGGCCGCCTAAACCTCAAGTGCTCCAGCTATATATCCAAGACGTCGCATGAGCTGGGATTCCGTACTGCCTGAATGCCTGATGCTCATGAAAACTGGGTCCTGAGTCTGCGCATTAAGCTCTATTGGGTATTAAGGTTTAGGGTTGCCGGCTAAATATACCACAATAACCTGACAGCGAAAAAACGCACGAATGCTGCCTAGTTTTCCAGGTTGGCTGTTTAACGCCTTTCAAAAAATCCTAAATGAAATCCCTTTAAGACCAACAAGATCCAAGCTACAATATCTGAACATTTACTGAATTTGTTGCTTCCTACATCTTCTTACCCGCCCAAATATTGCATTAAGCGCGTGGAAGCTAGTCAATTACAACTGACACCGAGAACGTGCTTCAATAGCTATAGGGTCCTTTGGAAGAACCCCCTCATTTTTAGAACCCCCAAATCCTAAGCCCCAAGCCCTAAACCTTGAACCCGTACCTCTAAGAACTTCAGCAGAATTTGTCATGGCTGCTGGCTTCAATTTTTTCGGTAGGTGCGGCAAGACTTGGGGTTACGTCGTGCGTTGCTGAGACTATCGGTCTTGAGATTTAGGTGTCTGCGGTACAAGGATGTCAGAAATCCCCAGCCGGAACCCCAGACCAAACGCCTAGTGTCTGCAACTTCGAACCATCAAAATTAAAACCTTTAATAAACACTAAGCTTTCAATCCCTCAGCCCTCTACATGTCTGAAGATTTATCTCAAAGATTTAAGTTGGCAGGTCCGTCGAAAATCAAGTCTCGTACACCCAGACTTGAAAAATACGGTTCCACTGTACATGGAATGCGGTCTCAACCTGTTTCCTTTCATTCTGGCTGCAACCCTGGCCAACCAAGCCTCTCGCCCGGCCCGGGGGTCCCAGCACACCTGATCAAACCTTGTGCTGGTCCCCCCCCTCGTCACCGGTGTTCTTCCGGACCAGCGGTGAAGCTACGTACCCTTAACATTTGTTTTCGCGAGTGCCTGCGCGGCGCCACGCTTGGCCAGCGATGACTCGTCCAAACACTCTTTTGACCATCCGAAATAAATTGTCGACCTTGCCTCGCAGGAGATCCATAGCACTTGCCAGAAATCCTGTGCTCTTCACGGTCCACCTGCAGGGCAAGATCGCCGCTACGGGCGGGACCCAGGATCCCACGGCACTCCGGTGGCATCCATGCTGCAACAACACTGTCCCAAGCACCGCCCTCGGCAGCCGTGGCCACTTGTGTCTGCGTCACATCTGCCTCAGCCCGCAGGGTTGCCAAAAGAGTGGGTAAAACGGATGCGGATAAAAAGTTTGAAGTTGATGCAACAACCACTGCTCCCGTGACTAGCATAGCACGAGGCCACCCGAGCACTGATGCAGATATTCCTCCTCACGATTCCGCTGCCAGGGTCCTGCATTTGAGTCATACCTAGCAATCATGTTGCTAGCGCTTGGACCAATGAGTCCTTCCAAACCTTGACGGTTGAATTCCCGCTCCAACACTATGAAGCTTTTCCGGTCCTGCAAAGAACGTTCGATTCAAACGCTTTGGCGGCAGAAGCTCAGCATCCCGAACCTTGATGTGTGGTCTCACAACTTCGACCTCGTAGTAAATACGGATGCCAGCAGCTAAGCTTCGAACTTGAGCAGCTGGGGTACGTCGAGTCGTGCTTCCAAAAGGCTGAGGATGCAGCGTATCGTGAGCAGACGGGCTTGGTTGTCGGGAGGGAAGCTGCTGAAGAAAGTAAGGGTGTTTTGAGCAAAAAGACCTTCAGAATTCGCACTTCAGTTTTCTGCAAACTTGCTGAATCTGCACATGCCGCGGTCCGGATTTTTTTGGAGTGCATAGCTGATTTCAGTCGGCATGATTTGCGCTGAAATGCTGTTGACGAGAGTGACAATCCATGTTTCCATTATCCATGCAAAAGCCGCGAGCATCTCGCTGTTCATGATCTGCCTGAGATATGTGACAAGCAGCAAGATGCAGTAAGTAATGCAGCGACAACTGTTCCTGCATTCAGAAAGGACCACGAACCGGCCCAGTTCGTGACATCAGACTTACTCACGACCCCAGGCCCCTAGGCGCATCAAGGCCTATGAATCCGCAACACTTCAAACATCTGCAAACTGTGAGCCAAAGTGTCACAGAGTCGCCAGACGACACCCAAGCAATCTCCGCCACTCCACATCTCATGGCCTGAGTTTTTCACATCAATCCTATATCCTCAACCCTAAACCCCAGACCCTAAACCTTTTTTGACTACAAAGCCGGAAACCCCACGCTCGAATACCCTGAATCCTCATCAACTCCCTTACAAAACCCATAGGCCAGTACCGGCAACCTCCCTAAACCAAGACAAACTGCACCCCAAACCAGGGACCTTAGACCCTAAATCGTAAACCCGAAATCCTAGACGATAAATTGAAACCCTAAACCCTAAACCCACGTCTGGCCCAGGACACCCCAAGGGCCCTCTCATGGAGCCCTTATGGTCCTTCATATTGGGTATTTAGGGTATATTAGAAGGTATCGGGGGGGGGGTCTAGGCCTTCTAAACCCTAAATCCTAAACCCAAACCCCAAAACCAAAAGCCCTAAAACCCCAAAGCCCTAAACCCCCAAAACCCCTAAAGCCCTAAACCCCCATAAACCCTAAGCCCTACAGCCCTAAACCCCCAAAACCCATAAACCCTAAAGCCCTAAACCCCCAAAAAACCTAAACCCTAAAGCCCTAAACCCCCAAAAAACCTAAACCCTAGAGCCCTAAACCCCCAAAACCCCTAAACCCTAAAGCCCTAAACCCCAAAGAAACCTAAACCCCGAAACCCTAAACCCTAAAACCCTAAAACCCCCAAAACCCCCCAAAACCCCTAAAACCCTAAAGCCCAAAAACCCTAAAACCCTAAAGTATCTGCCTGAAGGTCTTTCAGCTTGCTCTCGAACTCTGCTTTAGAGGCTCCGGCCTGATCCGGCGTTTCGGCTCTGTCCCGTTAGGGCTTCCTTTAAGGCTTTGGGGTTTAGGGTTTAGGGTTTAGGGTTTAGGGGTTTAGGGGTTTAGGGTTTAGGGTTCTGGGGGCGTGTAGTACCTTCTACCTTGAGGGCGAAAAGAGCCCTAAAAGGGTTTAGGCCATATAGGGATTCATAGTATAAGGGAATAGGGCCCCTACTTTTAAGGTTCTTTTCGTCCTAAACCCTAGACCCTGAACCCTAAACCCTAAACCATTAAGGGTTTATGGTTTAGGGTGTGTGTGTGTGTAAAGGGAGCTTTTCAAGGCGCTTTGAGGTTCCTTTGAAGGTTCTTTAAAGGGTGCGGCAGGGCGGTCTAGGGTTTAGGGTTTGGGGTTTAGGCTTTAGGGTTTAGGGTTTACGGTTCAGAGTTTACAGTTTAGGGTTTAGGGTTTAGGGTTTACGGTTTAGGGTTGTTACCCGACACAGGGAAATCGATCTTGGCCGCAGGGCGCGACGGCGGTTGGCCATCAAAATTAAGCCTGTTGACGTTCCGCGTCACCCTTGTAGGTCCCCCAAAAATACGGCACCCTTGTGAAAAGGACCCCAAAAGGGAATCTAATTTAGAGACCTACCCTTGTAGTACCCTTCAAGAAACCCTAGTCTTAGAATCCCTTATAGATTCCATCAAGGAACCCTAAAAGGGACATTATAGCTGAGATCCAGAAGAGCCACTAGGGTTTTCTGGAAGGGCTTCCGCGGGGCCTTGGACAAGTAGTTCTGCCGAGCATGAGACTTATTTCGGCTTAGGGACTCTAAACCCGAAACTTAAACCCTAAACCCCTGAACCCCTTAACCCCTCAACCCTAAACCCCTAGACCCCTGGACCCCTAAACCCCTAGACCCCTAAACCCCTAAACCCCTGAACCCTAAACTTCGGCTTTTGGGGTTTAGGGGCGGGCTTAGGCGCTTAGAGTTAGGCGGCTTCAAGGCTTTAGAGCTGTAAGGTCTATAGGGCTTATAGGGTTTAGGGTCTAGGGCCTATGTGAGGTTTCTCATTCAAGGGGCTTTATCCCAAAATCCTTAACTCTAAACGGCGCTTGTATAGTTGTATAAGTCTTTCCACAGCTTCGTGCGGTTCGTGGGTTGCTATACACACCCTGGGTTCCCAGGTGCTGTAGAAGGTCGCAGCTTGCAGTAAACTTCCCTGTTCTGTGGGGTTTAGAGGGTTTTTGGCGTTTCGGGGTTTAGGGTATGCAGTTCAGGGTTTAGGGTTTCGGGGCTTAGGGTGTATGGCTTTGGGGTTTAGGGTTTGGGGTTTTGGGGAGTTGGGTTTCGGGTATACGGCTTGGTGTTTAGTGTTTAGAAGGCAAAAGAGGGTTGGAACCGCGAGACCCTAGCCCTAAAAGCTTGCCAGTGCCTCGTACATCCATTCCTCGTAATCCGTGCCTCAGCTCGTCAACATCCCAGCCCAAAACCCTAAACCCTAAACCCTAAACCCTAAATCCTAAACCCTAAACCCTAAACCCTAAACCCAAACCCAAAAGCCCAACAAAACCCTTCACTTACTGAGTCGCAGTAAGGAACATTTAGGCTCTTTAGGCGTTGGGGTGGAGAGCCTTGGCTTGAAACCCCACGGACTCTAACATGTGGGTGGTTGTCAAAATTATGGTCCCCTTTTTTGGTCCTGATTATAATACGGCACCTATGATTTAGTGTACCCAAAAGGGACCATAATTTTGACAACTACCCATGTAATCTAGCTTCTAAGGTTGAAACCATGGGCCCCTAGTATGGGCCCAAAAGGGTGGGATCCTGATATACCTACTATCATACCCTATATGTACCCCTTAAGGGTCCCCAGAAAGGGAAAGGCCTAAGGGTCCATATTAGGCCCATACTTGGAGGGTCGGGGGACTTAGCAACTAGTTATTGTGTAGATTTAGAAGTATCATAACCCCAATTAGGATCCCTTTTAGGGTACTTATAACTCTACTTAATATCTACTTACTAAGTCCCCCGACCCTCCAAGTACTTCGAACCTTAGACTCGTTGCCTTGGTCCCGGCCCTAACTTCTATGGGCAGGGACGCTGTTCCCAAATCGAAACTTTAGCTTCGCACAAGAGCTTTCGTGGTTTTCAGGTTTAGCATGGGGGGTTTAAGGGCTCAGGGCGTGACAGTTTAATTTGGACTAGGAAGTTAGATCTATAGGAGTCAGGGTGTAGTGTACGGTTTACGGGCTTAGGGTCGTAGATTGGTTTTGGGAAGAAGAACTACTCTACAATATCGGAGCTCCGACAGAAACGCAATTCAGATCCGACATCCATGCGCTTTGCAAGGAAGCACTTTGAGCACGAGTGATCTCTGCGCACATACATACATACATACATACATACATGCATGCATGCATACATGTGTACATACGT